TGTTGTCGGATGCAAGTGAATTCATATGATGCGCATGTGCTCACGAAGAAGCAAGTGGAAAGAGATGGTCGAAGTAATGCGAGATCAAGGACAGATGCTAGTTACGCTGAAGTTTTGTTTTGCTTTCAATTTCTCTTTATTTTTCTTTTGTTTTTTTTTTTCTTGTGTTGCTTCTTTTATAGCCGAGCATAGACGAAATTTCGACAGCTCAATGTGATCGTTTGTGCAGCTGCGGAGTATTACCTAGATGTTGTTTTCTGAAGCACTGAAGATTGATTTTTTCCTTTATTTTCACTTTTTTCACTTTCAGTTAAATTGTTACCAGCCAAAAATTTCTCCGAAATATGTATAATAATACAGGTCTTGATTGACGTGTACTTCCACTAGCAAACTTTGATGAATTATTTTGCTACAGTCGAAAGTAAATTTTTTATTCGCCATTAATTTTCACGTTAAGAACCAATATATAGAACATAAAATATAATATTATAGCGAACGTGTCAGTCGTTTAATTATGATAGAAATACTTTACAGGCAAAACCTTTTGAAACATTTATCTCAAAATAACTTTGCTTGATCCAGGCACGATGCTACTCTATTTGCACGAATCGGACGCGCTACACCGAAAAGATCAGCGGCCGTATTATCAAAACTTCGTAAGTACGCAAAATCGACTTACGAGTGGCGTTGCTATGACAACGTAATACTAGCGGTGGTATTATCAAAACATTTGAGCGGGAAACATTTGCGCGGGAAAAACATACTCCAGCAAAACGCAAAGAAATTTATCTGCAGAGGACACGGAAGGCGTCGTGAGGCTCATAGCTGGTCTAGGGTGATAGAGCGCATCATCAGGTGAAGCGCTCGGACAAATGTTGTGCTGTGTTCTCCATGATCGCTCGGCCTGTCCTGCACCTGCTCTGTCTAAGAGCATAGGCAATCCTTCCGCTGAGCTTAGTGGGTCTACTTGGTGAGCAAAAGGTACAGTATATATTTTAGAAAATAACAATAAATAAGAGATAAAGCGAGTATTCTAACGAAGATAAATCAAATCTTAGAGTACCCTTTTGTCAGAAGAAAATTATTTTGTATGGAAATGAAAATTAAAATGATTTCTAGTATTTAAACACAATGAAATAAATGTACAGTTATTCAGCACTCGATCATTTTTGAAGCTCATAAAATCCTTCCATAAATAGACGTACAAAAATCCCATCAGTAAGCGATTGCAGCTAACGGAAAATTTCGAACCCAGATCAATGCCTAGCAATGACACATTGCAGTTAAACCACGCTAAGCTTTCACACACACCATAAATTCATATCAATAGTTTTCAAAATAGAATAAAATTTTATGCTAAGTATTTACAAGCAAATTTCCTTCGAATTAGCTGTGATTGTCTTAGTTCGAATACGATAATGACTGGCATTCTATTTTACGGTCTTTTTACACTATTCATCATCAGTCTCAGGCTTGGGGTGTAGCTTTATTATTTAAATGTTATATTACGAATGGGACATATGTGATAAGTCTGCTCAAATCTCAGGTTCACCATGAATTGAAACGCATATAAAAAGCCAAGTAAATTCAACACATCTTCATTGAAAACGTTTCGGAGACCAGCTCCGCCAGCATTAATTAGTATATTAGCTCCAAAAGCTCCGTCATCGCATCAAAAATTTTCGAGAATACCAGCACAATCAGCAAAGTAAATCAAATATAAACTAAAGAGGTGGGAACTAAGAGGCGGGAAAACGAAAGCGGCACATAAAAACTTATTTATCTTCAATTTCTAGAGTATCGAGCATCTAGATGCTCGAGAGAGTATCGAACCGAGCATCTAGAAATTGCTCTTAGACACAGTCACTCCGTACTGTTCGGCGTGAAGCCCCACATCGGAGTGAAAAGGCTTGGAAAAGAGATGATTTGAACGAAAGCCCCTGCCGCGGTATTCAACCACCCAGACGTAGAAGTTATGCAATGTCATTCTGACGTACGCTGATGCGCACCGAGCACAACTGTGTTCATAAACCATGGGGGACCCCGACTGGGCAGGAATAATTAACATCCTTAATTAGATAATAAGAAGTAACTCATTTTGAAAAGAAATCGCCAGGTGCAGGTTAACATTCGGAAAATATTTTGAAAATAAGATCTTCAATTCTCTGAACATTGTTTTAGACGATCTACCAAAGTAGGACAGAGTACAGTACATATTTTTTTTCTACCATCAATTTCTTTGGCCCTATCATGCCTTTTCGCGAGTTTTTAGCTCATTCTCTCATTTATGGAAAAAATGCACTATTGTGCTCGCCATGTCCGTCTGTCTGTCTGTCTGTCCGTCTGTCCGTCCGTCTGTCCGTGACCTTAAGTTTTCGTCGACGAGAAAATGCGCTCTCTGTCACTCACTGCAGTGAGTACTGAGTTATATTTTTTAGTTGTCAGGTTGTCCCATTGAAATATTTTAGGCATATTTTCTACAATACGTATATTGATGACATCTAGTTGATTTTCAAACATTCCTTTCGTATATTACCTTTTTCATTTATTAGTTCAACGTGAAAAATTCATTGATATAATTTTTAGTGGGGATCGAAACCAGCAAGAGTTTGTCGCTTTACATCATTTCTGAATACACTGACTTCTGGATTTTTGTTCTAAGTATAAAGTCAATAATGGATAATTACCGCCGATACATAAAAAATATTATTTTAGATATCGATGGACAGTTAATATATATTTCATGCAGGATAAATTTGTAAGTGACAAGTTTCCCTCTATAACCACTTTTCTCGAGCATCGACTTCCCTGGCGCAGACGGAGCTTGTCGGTGTGAGTCAAAGGTCGTTATAACAAACTGCTGGCGCCACTCCACAACTTGGAGTGTCCAAAGAAGAATGCGCACGAGGAGTGACTCCTCAAAACTACGCAGGAGTTTTCCTCTTAGTGAGGGACTCGAGTGATCGGCGCCGTGCAGGAGGCGGTAGCAAATTATTGCCGCGCTGCATCGAAGGCCTGCAGAATCGCGGACGCGAGCTGATAGCGAAATGAACGGAGATAATCGATTTATTGAAAGGCAACGCTTTCGCATTACAGGATCCTCAGACGCCGTCTATACGAGGCTAGGAAACTGAGACAATAAAGGGACCGTGGCTAATGGTGACCGGCATCATAGAGGAATCGAGCTGAGCTATAATTTCATTGACGTTTTTATTATGAGAACGATGGGTAGGAAGATGAGACGAACATAATGCTCTGAATATACATAAGCTCAAGATAATTAATTATCAACAAACTCAAAATTACGGAAACGGGCATCCCATACCAAGGTCGACACAAGAAACGTACGAATTTATGCACTTTTTGTCATTTCTCGAATTAATTAAGAACATTTCGTTAATTCTCAAAGACTAAAATACCTCTTCAATCCAAAAGGGGGAAGCTCTGGTCCTGAATATAGTTCAAATGAAAGGAAAGAAAATTAGGACACATCGTGAAATTATTGAATGAATGAAATTGGGAAAAATTCAAAATTATATGAGATTATTACCCAATTAGAGGGGATATAGAATTTATTGAGTTTAGAACTCCTGTAGAACATTATACAAAATCATGTAAGTTAAAAGCGAGAAAATTGTTGATACACTTTATGCCATTTTTATTGGTATTGTTATATTATTTGTAGGCGAGAATAACTCGACATGCGAAGCGACACGCTTGCGGTTGGTTTCAAGGCTAAATCTTAGCCTGAATTACTTGGCTCATCAACATTTCATATTACAACAATTTCTGTGAGGTGTATTGGCATTTTGAGGCTTCTAAAGAGACAGTAAAACTCAAGTATTTTATCTAGAGGAAACATTTTTCAAGTTTACCTTGCTAACTTAACAGTAACGTTCACACGTACACAATGTTTGAACAGTTTGGTTTCTATTGTATTGCTGATCCAGGCCAATATAAAATTCTGGGCCATACGGTGCCACGTTTCGACACGGCCATGACTTTCTAGAATACGCAAATTAAGAACCTAATACAAAAGTTAAACAATAAGTCGACGGCGGCGTTTTTTGAATTTTAATAAACTTTAAATTCTCCGTACTACGTGAACGACTTTTATGAGTACATAAGAGTGCAAATGAGACAAGTAATTCTGATAATTGACAATAATGCAGGATACGTTTTTTGTGTTACCACTTTTCATAATATTATCGCTCATCTCATTCAAGCTAAGTCATATGCAGAAGGTGCCTGAAACGTTCTCAGCGTATGAACATCAGTGCTTGCATTTACTTAGTCTAATTACATTTTTAGACAGATCTCGTAAAAAGAATAAGATAGCTGAATTCACTTATTTCAACTGAATCCACTTAAGTTACCTGTATAAATATAACACAAAATAAGTATTTATTAACAATCCATTATTATTTGATGAAATATTTGAACCAGTTTCTTAAATTACGTCTTTCCAGCTATAAGCACTTGCTGAATAAAACCTCTAAGTTATAGTTCAGCAAATGATATACTTTTTGTAAAGTTTTTTTTACTCGCTACACACCACAACTGCTTTATTGAGATTCGTGGCTGTTTACAAGAAAAGAACCTCTTTTTCTATCGCTTATGTATAGACAGCCTTCAGATCATCTGAAAAGTATTTCCTGAAATAACAAATCAGGCTATCGCAATTGTGCACCTGTTTCTCTTATTGCTGAATGTGCAACTCTTCTCAGTTGATCAGGTCTCATTGAGGTTCCTACATCTGATCCCATTTAAGTTTTTAACTTGAAATGAAATTCCACTCCATATTGGCGACGTTCTGTCATCAACTGCTTAGAAATTGGGACTTAACCTCATAGAAACGTATTTAATGAATTATGATTTTCTTCAATTAGTGAAAGACCTATATATATATATTGATAAACGCATGGCATAGAATCTCTGTTTTGAATTTAACAAACTATTAAAAAATATCATAGCTGAGCAATAAAAATGTTGTGGCTTACCTCTAGTTTCTGTCTGCGCTGCTAAGGCAGCTGCGACGTAGCAGCAGAGAAGGTTCAGCGCGGCATGGCAGACCCGACGCATGGTTTAGCACAACGTGAGTGACGTCACGCCTTGTATAGTATTATTTCACTAGTGACGTCACGCCTTGTCAACAGTTACTTCACTAGTGACGTAACACCTTGTCTAATATCACTTCACTAGAGACGGCCCGCCTTGTTTCCTACCATTCCACAACTAACTGTGAGATTATTTTCAAAATTCAGTGTTGGGACAAACAAATCTACATCAGATTAAACTGCTGCCACACTTATGCCGCATTTATTTGAAATTACTGACAGTGGATTTTTCAATCGAGAAACTTTATGCACGACTTGATTGAGGCGATCGCATGATATTGTCAGCACATCCAGGTTTAGTTATTCGTGTTGTAATGTCAAGATTCAAATGTGAGGACATCGCATTATGTTGTAGTGAGAACAGGTAAGCTTTCAATCACCATACGAGATTATCAATGCTTGAGTTCAGCATTTCACTCCACTCGGATTTCAGCAGTTTCCTGACACACAAGTTTCTTCGTTCGGGCCATTTTCAAGAAAATAATATTCAAATTCATATGTATTCAAATGCTGATGTTAAAATCGGATCCAATTTCATCTTAGGAAATTTCTTGCTAATTATAAAAAAAACGCGATCAAATTTCAAAAGTTTATTTCTTTCTCCTTAATGAATTGCTTTTCTTTGCAATTATTTCGATTTAGATAGCGCTATACAGCATGTTGGCTGATTTTTGTTATAATAAAAATGTAAGTTAAAAAATTGAAGTTTCAATTTTTCAAATCATCAAAGGAGTTTCACAGATAAAAATTACAAAATATCATTATTCCTTGTATAGAACGACATAAATTTTCTGATGGGTGTTGATTTATTTCGGTCCGTTGGTACCTATTTTCGAGCTCGGAATTTTCGGAAACAATTACCATTGATTCTCGAAATTGCAATGATAACTAATTAATTTCGACTGGCAAAACCGTTCAGGGCTTCAAAAATGATAGGTATTTTAAAATTGATAGAATAAGGTATTCATTATATTATGTAGTATATACTTCATTTCTTAATTCAAATGGGGTCAGCAGAATGTGTTAATTGCGGGGTCAGCTGAATGCATTCTTCAATATTTTCTAAAACATTCCTGATAGTGGACGAATGCATTTATGTTTGCATTGCAGGCAAGAATCAAATATTGAATTAATATTTTTTACTAAACTATTATATTCACAGAATAAATTAGCTGTAGTTGATTATTGGTCAATAAATACGCTAAAACGTCATTTGATGGGTTGTTATCATTTTTTGAACATTACAAGAAGAAAAAATTCGAATTATTCGTATCACATTCGGACTGACTTTTAAGCATGCACGGTAGAACCAAAAGTCAGGTTGACCAATATTTTTGCTAAAATTATTTTAAAATTAATATGCGGATAACTTTTTCCATGTATCACTACATCGGAAACTTTATTATTATGTAAGCTTTTAGAAACGCAAACTTACTTTGTCTCAGGTTATTGATAAACGAATATCAATTGTAGAGATTTTGGCCGCAGCTAATTAATGCTGATAAAATATAAGGATTAAATTTGGTATTTGAATGCCCAAGCCTTCGATTCGTGACTTGAGTGTCATTCTCAAGCATTTACAGATGTTGATGCAACTTTAATATGATGTGTTCTTCAAACTTCAAGTTCTATTCTCGTATGCAATTTTTTGACTTTGCAACGACAAATAGCAATTTTATGTTTTCTCGACTCAATTTTATAACGATCAATGGGTGAAAAGAAACCATTTTGACTATACACAAACTTGTGTCTGCAAGGTGGCACTTCAATATTTTCTGTGTCTTCAATGCAAAACAGGTTTTCATGTGTTCCAAATATTTTCTTCTCGAAAATTTATTCAAGTTATATTAGAGGCAGACGATGTAGAAATAATATTCAACAAAGGACATTGGAATATTTAATACGATTTTATTTCCAATATTGCCGTTGAACGTCAAACGAGGCGATACGAAAGCAATACGGAAGCTCTGATCGAACACATCGAGCGTTACGACTTCCGGACGCGAAGGTATCGCGCTACGCCGCGTCGTGTAACCATGGCAACTGCTTAGTCTCAATTCAATGACAGTGAGACTCCTACTCCGTCGTTCAGTGTTAATAAAAAATTATGATTATGCTGTGAGAAAATAATAATTACGCGTAAAGCAATTTTGTGTTTTATCCTGCAAATACTGGAAATTATTTCAGCTAGTGGGGTCAAATATGTGAATGCCTCATGTCTGCGAATAAAATTACCGTCCTATCAGTTTCGTCAAGGGTAACACGTGGAAATTTAAAAAGTTTTAAAAATTTAAATAAACGATAATAATATATCTAATCTGTGAATAGTCCTCCAGCAGAAGCGAATGGCGGAATTCTCGACAAAAAAGATCGACAAACTTCCCGTTATATAGACCTTTATTAGCGGGAAAAAGATTTTTCCCGCTATTCCTTATTTCTTCTTAAAACTTTGATTAGATATTTCATTGATACCTCAACCCATTGAGGGCCAGAACAATTAGTCGAGTGGTCAAATGCAAAAAAAAAATTATTTCTACTCTGAACATTTAATACAATTTTTAGCCCAACTATTGCTCGTGAGATTTAAAATGTTCATAAATTCTCCCTAATTACAAGGAAGTTTATGCAAGTATGTAGAAGAGGAACTGCTAAGTGCCAGTAGCGAAAATTTTAAATACTAGAAAACTTTTTAAAACAATCCTTCTTATAAAATGTACTACAAAGATTCATGTCAATGTTGAGCTCCTATAGGTACTAATTGAGTTATACTGAATGTTTTTTCAATATATTTAATTTTCACAACCAAAATATTTTATTTCATCTAAAATCTTTAGCTGAACTGCTATGTTTTTAGACTTTGACAAATTTGATATCCAACTGCGATTATTACTGTCCAGTTTTCTTTAATTTGTATTTGTTTTTATTTTGGCGTTGATAATATGTACTTCATAACATGAACAAAATTCGATCGTACTTTAAAAGAAACACGAAATTCATAATAAAATGTACATAAAAAAATCTAATCAAAGCCCTTGCTATTAACCATCGCGATTAACCATCGCCTGCGACCTCGCCTTCTCTTGACCGTCATTAACTTCAACTCGGTTCTTTACTCGAGTCCAAATTTTAAATCCAGAAGTGAAAAGAAAAAATCTCAGAATTAGACTTGAGAAATTGGTCTAAGGTGGAAGACACGCTCCTTTTTAACTGACATAGAAAAATATATGCACAAAGTTCGTTGCCGTCTACGGAGAAATAAAATTCAGGTAAAGTGAATCCTCTGGTCGAAGTCAAACAGGTTTCCTACTGTGCATTAAGTAAAGAATCTAGGAAGAAAATTTGTAAGATAAAAATTTCTCTCCTCGATTAGAAAAAGAAGATGGTTTCCGAGATTGCAATGACGAAGAAGGGTTCTTAACTACGGCCTAAAGACGGCCTGAGGAAACTCAGCCGTCATTACAGCTGGCTAACTATTTCAATTCTAGCCTCACGAGAAGAATATTGTTTCACCCAGTTTTACTCGTCAGAACCGTAATACATCAAGGAATATATTTCACACATTATAACGTTTATCAGTGGTGTATTATAAGTGTAAATTATATTCAACAATTCACGTACAAATGCTTTAAGTCATAAGAAATTAAAACTAGGTTACAACTAAATGCAATATTTTCCTACGGATTAGAGGTGTAGCACAGTCGTAAAGAAGTATAAAGTATATTTTACTAATATTTAATAGGTCAGTTTTAATGAGATGAATAAGATTAAAAGCAGCTACTGGCTTCTAGAATCGATGACTAACCACGTACACTATGTTCCTACCGACACAAAATATACACGATATACGTATGGACTTTCGTGTACAGTCAAGGAAAAATACTTGCACGGAAGAGTTGTTGGGAAATTTAGGTTAAAAAACGAGCAGTTTGGTTTTGAGTGAAGACACAAGCCGATGGTCTCGGTAACTTCAACACGACGTCGCTGCGGCGACTGCGACCGTCCTGCCCTGCGACATGTAAGGCCGCGGGCGAGACTCTCACGTGGACGACGTGTATGAACTCTCTCGTGTATTTCCAGTTATTTTGTCCCAATTTATTATCTGAAAGTCCACATGATGAAAACTAGTTTTGAATCTCTGAAATTTCTCACAATGAAGAATCTTCAATAATCAAAATTGTAAAATTTGCGTATTTATATAACATGCATTTAAAAGTTCAAGGAGAACCACGAGGATAAACTGAAACTTGATGTATTTCACAAGATGGGAAGTTGGAAAGCATATCTTTTTGAGAAGCGACCGCAGAGCATGCCGCTGTGGCGATGTCAGCAGAAAGCGGCACCAGCACTCCCCTCGTGACGGCGTCCGAGGACAGACTGAGGCAGCGAGGGTAGGCTGAGGGTAGTCTTGGTGCAGGCGAGGTTAGCTCCGCCTGCCCAAGATCCCGCCTGCCTTGTTCCCTCACACAGCCTCGGTCTAGCGCCGCCCTTTATATACTTGGCGCGACCTCGCAAATTTCCCTTTGATCACAGATACGAAATCGGCGAAACCGTGATACTTCGCACGAGCTTCGCTTAATTCCAAAGCCAAATGATCCGTGACATAATTGACTTTTGCATCATGGTTTACATTCGAGCTCTCGGATTTCAGAATGCACTTTTTCTTTTAATATCGGATCGGACTTAACGAGAAAATTGATATAGCAGCGAATATATTTGCACGAATCACAAGGACTTGAATATTCATTTAATATGAAATTCAACGCAGTCTTAATTTAGGAGTAAAATTTTCCTGATATTTCATAATTTGCTCCTAATAAGGAATCGGGAATTTTTTAAAATTATGTAACATGTCCAGTCGTGACAGAATCAAATTTATAAACTATTTTTCTCACCAGAGAATTAGGCTGGTACATCTGAGGCTGTAATTTATATTCGTTCATGCAGGACTGCTACTGGAACATTGCTAGTGTGAAATTTCGGCTCCTAACCTCATCAGAAGAATTTCCAATCTAAAAAATTGAAAACTTTTTAATTTATGTTAAATTTAAATAAAATTAATTTTTAATTAATTTTAATTAATGAAAAATTTACCAATTAAAGAAGACTGTGAATGAAAAAGCAAAATTCACAAAGTGTCATTAGTGAGTATTATATGAATTTTGCAGCGCTCAGTGCTATTCGAAGTCCTAAGGTATGGATGAGCATGAATGCACTTCATCTGTCTCAATAAATATTTGTTTCGAAACTACCCATTTATTAACTCGTATTCAAGCAGGTCCACGAAAAGTCGGCACTTCCGTTATTCTGCCCGAAACATCATTTGGGTGCAGTATATTTGGGCACGGTCCACATAATTATGGTTCACAATTTATGGTTTGGTGTATCGAATGAGCTATTGCGACCTGGTTCACATCAGAATAATGGCTGGTGTCCCGATTCATCCATTGTGGCCTGGTTCAAACCAATTAAAGTCATTAGGGTATGATCCACTCCAGAACAATGGCTGGTATACCAAGTTAGCCATTAAGGTATGATCCACCCTAGAACAAGGCTGGTATACCAAGTTAGCCATTAGGGTATGATCCACTCCAGGGGCAATACTTTCAAAATTCGCTAAGTGAACGTAAGTACTTACGCTCTATTTTCTTGACTATGATTG